TATGTGCCGTCGAGTTGGCCCCAACTAATAGCGACCCCTCCTTGGGTTTCCGAGGCAGTATCATAACAGAAGTAGGATTGCCCAACCTTCCTTCTGAGGAGTGGCTGGTGGGTTTGAACCTCTAGCCTTCTGGTTAGCAGTCAAGTGCCTTAGGCACTATGCTACCAGAGCTCCTAGATGACCAGGTAGGACTGTGCAAATGTGAGGTGCTTATGGCCTAGTAGGGGGTTTGGATAGCTTGCTAATGATGTAAATAACGTACATGGAACCCTTGGGGTGAGGGGGTGGGGACTATGCAAGTAAGGTGTATGGAACCCTAATGTGGGGGATTGGTTAGTTTAGGCATTCCACTAGGTTTAAAATGAGCCATCCCAGAGGTGAAAAGGGGGGTTCTCACTGTTGTCAAGAGAGAGAAGAGCAGGATTGGAGCACATCCTTGGACCCAAGATCCCTGCATTGAGATGATGGCAGAGAGATGGTGGTGGTAGCGATGGCAACAAAACTGAGAGACTGACGTGAGACAGAGTTACAGACTTGCTGGCACACAGAGTGAGAAAGCTGAGTGCCTTTGGACAGGAGGCTTGTTGGCAGAGTGGAGTATACCTAGGCACACCTACTAGCAGAACTAAAAGAACTCCGTTAACGCTTGCTTGAACAGCGCAGAGGGCAGGCCTAGAGGCCAAGTGCCAAAGAGAGGTGTGCCTTTGGGCATGGGTGAGGAGGCTGTTTCGACTGAAGAATTTATCCTGAGCGTTTCTGAGTCTGTTACTTCCCAAAGAAACCTCATAATCGTGAGTATTGTCTGTTAGTTCTTTGTGGCCATTGCAATGAATTATCAAACCCAGCAAAGAAATAGAGAAGGACAATTGGTGTTAGATTGATGAAAAGTTTGCAGGGTAGTGACACGTCTGGCCTCATAGGAGTAAGTCTTGGGCTGCTGATGGCGATTTTCTCTCCTCGTGAATTTAGAAGAGATCAGAGGATGCTGCCACCATGTCCTTTTTGTAGCTGCTGTCAAATCAGCTGACTCATAGTGACCTTAATGTGTAACAGAATGAAACATTGCCTGATCCTGCATCGTCCTCACCATTGCTACCATGTTTAAGTCCATCTCCCAGAGGGTCTCCCTTGCTTTCAGTGGCCCTCTGCTTCACCAAATATGATGTCCTCCAGTGAGTGATCCCTCTAGATAACGTGTCCAAAGCAAGCCAGTCAGAGAATGTTCTATTGCAATCCACAGGACATTGCCAGGCTTTTCTTCCTAGTCTGTCTTAGTCTGGAAGCTCCGTTGAAACCTGTGCCCTGTGGGTGACCCTGCTGGTATTTGAAATACCAGTGGCATAGCTTCCAGCCTCACAGTAGCATGTAAGGCACCACAGTATCACAGACTATTAAGATAGGTGGTGGTCTTTGACTTAACATATACATTTGAAGTTCATCTCTCGTTGCATATGTCACTAGCTCGTCCCTTTTTTTTACTGAATAATGTTCCATATGAATGGACCACTGTTTGTTCATCCATTCATTTGGTTTGTTTCCTGTCAGTGGTAATTATGAACAAAGTTTCTAGAAACATTCATGTCTAAATTGAGTGGATATGCATATTCTTTTCTCTTGTGTAAATGATTACCCAGGAGTGGGATTGCTAGGTCATATGGTAAGTGTAATTTAACTTTATAAGAAACTGTAAAACTGTTGTACAAAGTAGCTGTACCATTTTATATTCCCACTAGTGTATGAAAGTTCCAGTTGTAAGTTAAAAATTTAGCTACTCTACTAGGTATGAAGTGCACTCATTGTGGTTTAAATTTGTATTTCCCTGTTGAAGTTGAGCATTTTCTTGTGTGCTTATTGTCCATTCCTTTATCTTTGGATGTCTCTATTCAAATCCTTTGCCAGTTTTTTAATTGGATTGTTTTCTTATAGCTGAGATTTGGGAGGTCTTTCTGTATATTTTATACCAATGTTTTATATTGATTTGCAGATGTTTTCTTCCAGTCTGGTGTCTGTCTTTCCATCCCTTTAAGCATCTTTTAAGGAGCTCTGGTGGTGCAGTGCCTAAAGCATTTGACCGCTAACCAGAAGGTTGGTGGTTTAAAACCACCAGCCATTCTGCAGAAGGAAGATGGGGCAATCTACTCACTTAAAAATTTATTGCCTCAGAACCCCCATGGGGGTCGCTATGTGTTGGAATTGACTTGGGCAGTGGTTCAGTGGTTTTTTTTTTTTTTTTTTGAAGTATCTTTTGGAGAGTAGAAGATCTTGTTTTTAATGAAATCCAGTTTATCAATTTGTTCTTCTATAAACTCTGTTTTTGTTTTATCTCTGCCTATTCCCAAATCACAAATATTCTGTCCTAGGAGTTTTATTATAGTTTTTGGTTTTTATGTGTAGATTGGTGATCCATTTTCAGTTAATTTTTGTGTCTGGTGTAAGAAATGAAACTCATGGGCATTTAATTGTTCCAACACCATTTGTTGGAATGTCTTTCCTTTCTTTGTTGTATTGTGTTTACACATGGGTAGAAAATCAGTTGATTATGTATGTGTGAGTGCATTTCTTTCTATTTTGTGTGTCTGTCCTTATGTCTATGCCACACTGTTGTGATTACTATAACTCTTACAGTCTTTGTCCTAGCTTTCTCTAGAGAAATAGAACCAATTAGATAGATACAGAAGTCCCTGGGTGGCACAAACTTGAGCGCTTGACTGTTTGCTGAAAGGTTTGAACCCATCCAAAGGTGTCTCAGAAGAAAAGTCTGACGATTTGCTCCTGAATAGCTTGAGTGAGACCCCCGAGACTGTGGCCCCTAGTTAGTTCCTTCAGGCCTAACAATAGACAGGCACATGGAGTGAACATTTACATCTGGTAGATACACTACTTGGTGCCATCAGTCATGGGAGAATGGAAGAGCAGTGTTTCCGTAGGGAGATAGCTCAGGGGCAGGAATGCATAAGAAAGAGGGACACAGGGAAGAAGTAGCTACAGGGAGGAATTGGGAAGAGAGCTGTTACTTTGTGGGGAATCATAGTGGATGTCATGAAACAAAATGTGTATGAACTGCTGTATTTCTGTACTGGGTTCGATAATTCGTTGCAGTGGCCACACAGAACTCACAGACAATACTTACGATTATGTGGTTTATTAGGGAAGTAACAGGCTACATTTCAGGTTCAGGAACATGCTCAGGGTACAGTTCTTTAATCAGGACGGTCTTCCCCTCTACTGTGCCCTCAGACACACCTCTCTGGCCCTTGGCCTCTTGGCCTGGCCTCTGCCCCGCTTGGGCAAGTGTTATAAAGCTCTTTAGCTCTGGTGATAGGTACACCTATGTGCATCCCACTCTGCCAGCAAGCCTCCTGCCCAAGGGGACTCAGTTTTCTTGTTCCCTGGGCCAGCAAGCCACTTGTGCTGCCTCATGCCTCTTGTTTCCTCTGTGGTCGTCTCAGCCTGTCACCTCTGCTGGTTGGCATTTCTACTGTCTTTCTGCCAGGGAGGTCCAGCTCAGGGCCTCGGGTCCAAGGACATGCTCCATTCCAAATCTGGTTTTTCTCCCTTGATGGCAGTAAGATCCCATCTTCTGCCTCTAGCAGGGCTCTTTTTCTTTCTTTCTTTTTTTTTTATTGTGATTTGGGTGAAAGTTTACAGAGCAAATTCACTTTCCATACAGCAGTTCACATGCACTTTGTCATATGACATTGACTACAATTTACCACAAAACAACAGCTGCCCTCCTACTTCCTCCCCATAGTTACCTCTTCCCTGTGTCCTTCCTTCCATGCACTCCTGCCCCTGAGCTGTCTCCCTGTGCATACACAGCCCTTCTATTCTCCCATGATTGTTCTCCAAGGAGTATATCTACTTAGTGTAAATGTTCACCTCATATGCCTCTCACTTGTTTGGCTGAAAGCCATGGATGTGGGTTCAGTTCCAGACCTGAAGGGCAGCTAGGGGCCATAGTCTCAGTGGTTCCACCAGGCTCTATCAGACCAGCAAACCTGGTCCCTTTTTTTTCCTCCAAATGATTTTTAGTTTTGTTCCACATTGTTCTCCCTCTCTATCCAGGATCTCCTACATAGATCCCCTTCCGAGTGATTGACAGTGGTAACCAGGCACCATCTAGTTCTTCTGGTCTCATAGTCGTATAGGCTGGGGATCGTATGGTGTACCAGTTGTTTAGACTAATTTTTCATGAATCTTTGGTTTTCTTCATTCTTTTTTGCTCCGGACAAGGAGAGACCCATCGTTGCATCTAGATGGCTGTAGCAGGGCTCATTTTAAGCCCAGCAGCAGAGCAAAACTAACCAATCCTCACTTTAGCGTTCCATACAACTTATTTTCATGGTCCCACCCACTAATCTGGTAAGAGTCACAAAGACCATGGCTAAAAAAGCCATCCCAAGTAATTCACTGTACTATGTACCTGTATTAAGATGTTCTTCCTGCCATCTAAAGTAAAACGTTTTTGGTGTAAACTGTCAAATACCAAAGCGTATACATAAAATCTCTTGCCTGTCATCACTGGGAAAACATTTGATGTGTTTCAAATGTTTATGTTTATATTTATGTTTTATATTCTGTGCAGGTGTGCATATCATTTTTGACAAAATTAGCTTAGTCATGCATATATGTGATTACATCATACAATTCTTGAAATCTGTCCCTTGCCTCAAAGTGGTCTCTGGGTGGCACAAACAGTTTGGACTTCATTACTAACCTAAAGGTTGGTGGTTCTAACCCATCCAGTGACGTCACAGAAGAGAGCTGTGAGTCTGCTTTCGTAAAGATAACAGCCAGGAAAACCCTGTGGAGCAGTTCTGCTCTGTAAGAGTACATGGGGGAGTGGCCAGGAGTTGGAATTGACTCACTGGCAACAGGTTTGATTTGTTTATCTTTCCGCTCAGAGTAACAGCAGAAAGCACACTGCATAGATAACATCGGAGGCCTCCTCATGAAGAAATGGTGTCTTATTACCTGATTGTCACATGTTCCCCTGACAGGTTCCTGCAGCAGATGCATTAAAAACCAGTGGGAAAATGCTAGAAGGTGGAAAGAAATCTAACTCGCTCCAGAAAAGCAGAGGCGCTTCAGGTATGTAAGGATTGAGGGAGGTTGTGAAACATCGTATGGTCCTAAGTAAAGGCCTTTGTGTTATTTTGGATGGTGACTGTCTTAGTTATCTAGTGCTGCCATAACAGGAATACCAGTAGTGGGTGCTTTAACAAACGTATGTTTTTCTCACAGTTTAGGGGCTACAAGTCCAAACTCAGAGCTCCAGCTGGACGAGGGCCTTTCTCTGTCAGCTCCTGAGGACGGCCCTTGTCCCTTCAGCTTCTGCTTCCTGGTTATGTGGAGAGCTCCATGTGGCTGGCATCTGTCTTGCCCCATCTCTCTGCTCACTTGTTTAATCTCTTTTATATCTCAAAAGAGACTGACTTACGACACACCCTACATGCTTCCTTCCCCGTTAACAACAAAAACAATCCATTCTCCAATGGGATTATAACCACAGGCACAGAGATTACGATTTACAACACATATTTTTTGGGGACATAATTCAGTCCATAACAGCGACAGACGTGGAGGTCAATTTTGTTTCAAACTACATCAAGCTGAAGTTCCCTCTTACCTTTCTGGGGAGGGTCCGATGAAGGAGGGACCCTGCCCCAAATGTCAGCAGTGCCATGGTTGAGAAGTCGTCATTGAAACATTAGCACAGTAATTTAGACAGATTGTTAGAGTCCCATTCTGTGGCCGAAAAGAAAATTTGTTTTCTTAATGGAAATGCAGTGTGTGCAGATGACAGAACGCTGTACCACTGGAAAAGAAATAATAGGAAGTTACCATCTTGCTACCTGAGCGACTCTGTCCCCCATCCTGGAGGAGCTGCTCAACAAACTGTCTTTCTAAGCAATTTAAAAAATTGTAACACAAGTAATACGATACTTGTCTTAGTCTCCATAACAAAATACCACAAGTGGGTGGCTTCAGAGAACAGAAATGTATTTTCTCACAGTTCTAGAGACCAGACCTGAATTCAGGGCACCGACAGGCCCATGTTTTCTGCCTGTCGGCTCTAGGAGAAGATACTCCCCTGTCTGTTTCAGGGTGTGTAGCCCAGGTGTTCCTTGGCTTGTAGATACATCCTCACATGCTGTCTCCCCCCAGTTATGACTCTATTCCATGCCAGTCCTGTTTCATAACATGCCTCAGAATGGATGAGATTAAGACCTTCAGTACTCAGGTACACCCTCATTAACTGATTTAAAAAAAATCTATTTCCCAAGCAAGGTCACATTCACAGATGCTTGTTGTTAGCAAGTGGACTTGAGCTTAGAACTTGAGTGTGTCTTGTTTGGGCATATAACTTGATCCGTACCACTAACAAAAACTTGAGTTCTTGTAAGAAGTGGTATTGTATAAAAATATGTTTGTTTCTTTGAAAAGTGTGATGAGTTTCTCAAGCAAATAGAGGTGAATCAGGGTAAAGGAATGATTCTATTCAGTGGCTGTATGGGTGATAAAGGGAGCATGGCTCACACAGGAAATGTGAATAGTTCGTGTTTGATACGTGGAGGGGACTATCGATTTTCCTTAACACTTGATTCAAGAAAAAAACACTCAGTGCAAAAAAACAAAACAAAAGTGCATGTTTCTCACTGCATAATATGGATGAATTTGGAGGACATTATGCTGAGTGACTTAAGTCAATCACAGAAGAATAAATACAGTATTGGTTCATTGTTGTGGAGGGTCAACGAAAGGTTTGTATATGGAGGGAAACTTCCTTTGTTGGTTGCCAGGAGTGGGAGTGGAGGGGAGGGAACACTGAAAAAAAAAATGCATTGACCCATGTCACTTTAGTTTTGTGTATTTCACTGTACATAAATTATATTTCAGTAAATGCATTAAAAAAAAAAAGTGCATGTTTCTTGGCTGCCTATAGTCTCTCACACCCACCAGCCCTCCTTGGAAAGAAGGTTGGGCAGTCTACTTCCACAGACATACTGCCTCAGAAACGTAAGGAGGGGTCACTAAGAGTCTAATCGACTTGATGACAGTGAGGTTTTTTTTTTTTTTTCCCGTTTAATAGTCTCTCACAGCCTAATTGTGCTGACTTGAAGGAATTCTTTTTTGGCCTGTAGATATGAGTGTGGTTGCGAAGGGCGAACTGCAGTCCACCATGCTAGAAGGACATGGGGCCGCCCCGCCAGACCTGGATCTTTCTGCCATTAATGGTAAGGGATTAGCCTTACTCTCTTTTATGAGCTTGGCGTTGCAGTAAATGTCAGTGGGCTTCTAAAGTCTGCTCTTCTCACTGTTAAAACATTTTCTTTACCTCAGATAAAAGTATGGTCAGAAAGACTCCACAGTTACAAAAAACATTGTCACAGCAAAATGATTCAAGTTCATTTTCTTCCTCACGGAAAAAGAGCCCAGTAAGTGTCTGAATGGGGACGGTCATGTTTCACCTCTCAGGTGGGAGACCTGAGTTCAGTTCCCAGCCAGTGCCCCTGATGTCCAGCCCCACCCATCTGTCTGGAGGCTGCTGTGATGCTGAACAGGTTTCAGCAGAGCTTCCAGACTAGGATGGACTGGGCAGAAAGGCCTGGCCGCTGAATTACGAGATCAACCCGTGAAAATCCAGCGGACCCCAGTAATCTCGTCTGCAGCAGATCACGGAGGTGGTACAGGCCCAGGCAGGCAGTGTTTCATCCTCTTGTGCTTGGGGTCACCAAGAGTCAGGGACCACATCAATGGCAGCTATAACAGCAAGTATCTGAAAAGAAAGAGGAAGTTACTACTTGGTTGGTTAACCAATTTGCTCCTGCCCTTTGCCTGGTACCATCCGAGGCCCTGGGTCTGTAAGCGCATGCAAGACAGCTGATCCTTTTAGGGCAAAAGCCAAGAACACAAACATTCCTAGGTCATTCTTGGAGTTTAAATTTGCCCAAGCAAACCCACAATAGTAGATGCAAGCACCAAGAACCAAGACCAAACCTGTTGCCATCAAGTTGACTCTGAATAACAGCAATCCCGTGTATTACAGAGAGCTGCCCCATAGGATTTTCTTGGCTGTAATTGTTACAGAAGCAGAATGCCAGGCCTTTCTTCTGTGATGTCGCTGGGTGGGTTGGTTTAAACTTCAACCTTGAGATCAGTAGTTGAGTGCAAACCATTCACACCATCCCAGGAGCTTGAGATGCAAGCATGGAATTATGTAAAACATGACATTGGGGCTTTCTGTGGGCCAGCGCATCCTAGGTGAGGCTCCAGCCTGGCCCTGGCCCCAGCAGGGGCGGCTTTGGTTTCACTAGTGAGGCATAACCTGTGCTGAGAGGGTCACGGTCTGGTTCAGTACTGACTCACTAGGGGTCCCAGGCCAGCCCTTGGCCCATCTTCTGCCACCTGTTCGCCGCCCAGTGCAGGGAGGGGGTCGGTCACCCCTCCTCCTCAGAAAGCAACAGAAAAGACTGAGCAAGAACTTGAAAGTGGCAAGGCTGATGGGCAGTAGTGAATTGTGTTTTAGATTTCTGGAAAGAAAGTACATGCAGGTGAGGGGTATGATCCTCTTAGGGGGAGAGAGAGAACTGGGTTTATAGGAGCTCACCGAGAACTGAGACTCTCTCTTTGCTTTAAGGATTTATCTGAATCCATGGATATGATGGAATCACAGACATTGCTCCTCACATTGGTGACTGTCAAGGTAAACACCACGGCCTCCCTTTGTGAGGGGCCGAGGAGGGGATTGTGGTGCAGAATGGCAGCTACATCTCCTCGGCCTGATCTTTGGCTTTGCATTTCACAGATGGAGAACAGCCTCTCCCAGTTGGAGGAGAAGGCGGAAAACAACCTGTTGAACGTGTGCCGAGAGCAGGAGAAACTTCAGAAGAAGGTGCAGGAGCTGAGGCGCAGACAGCTGCTCGGGCAGAGGACAAGGGAGCTGCTGGGCACGCTGGACGCGCAGGTCAGTGCGGGTGGCGTGCGATGACGCAGCCCTCGGAGGAGCAACCCAGCTGAAACTGTCTCCTTCGGTGGGTGGATGCTTTACCAGGACAGCAGTTGTAGCAGGGTATCCTCCACATTCGTGCATGCCCTGTGCCAGGTCTTGATGTTTTTTAGATGTCTCTTAGGGAGTGTACTGAAAACAGAGCTAGTGAGAGAAAAAAAAGTGAATTAGGTAAGTAGGTAGATAGACTTGATAGATGACAGATGTATAGATGGTAATAGATCAATCTATAAGTAAATAGATGTATAGATAAGGGATAGATAAACGACAGATGTTAGATGTCGTCAAGTTGGTTCTGACTCATAGCAACTCTGTGTACAACAGGAGAAAACACTGCCCGGTGACCATGGTTGTGGGGGACATCAAGCTCCATTGGTATAACATATACTATACAATCATATACATCCTATCTTGGTGGGTAGCAACTGGGGTCTTAAAAGCTTCGAGTGTCCATCTAGATGCAGCAGTTGGTCCCTCCTTGTCCAGAACAAAGGAAAATAAAGAAAACCAAAGACGCATGGAAACAATTAGTCCCAGTGACTAGTGGACCATGCGAACCTCAGCCTGTGTGACCACGGGACCAGAAAAACTAGATAGTGCCTGGCTGCCATTGTCAACCACTTGGAAAAGAATCAGTGTGGGAGATCCTGGATAGAGTGGGGGAAAAGTGTGGAACAAAACTCAAAATCATAAAAAAGAAACCCAAGCTTACTGGTCTGAGACGAGAAACCCCTGAGACGATGGTTCCTCCTCCCCCTTCAGGCCCGGAATGAAACAATCCGTAGCTTCCAGCCAAGCAGTAGACAGGCATATAAGGTGAACACTTACACCAGGTGGGTACACTCCTTAGTATAGTCCACACAGGAGATCAGAAGGGCAGTATTTGCATAGGAAGATAGCTCCAAGGGCAGGAATGCGTATGAAAGAAGGACATGGGAAAGGTAATTACAGGGAGAAAGTGGGAAGAGAGCTGTTACATTTTGGGGATTGCAGTTAGTGTCATGAAACGATGTGTATAAATGGCTGTATGGAAAATGAATTTGCTTTGTAAACATTTGCCCAAATCACAATTTAAACAAACAAACAACACTGCCCAGTCCTGCACCATCCTCATAATCATTGCTGTGGTTGAGCCCATTGTTGGAGCCACAGAATCAGTCCCCTCATTGAGATGGAGTAGTGTCTTTGTACTAACCCTCCACTTTACCAGCTCCAGGGGCTGGTCCCTCCTGACAGCACGACCAGAGGATGTGAGATGCCGTCTTACCATCCTCATCTCAGAGGAGCATTCTGACTGTACTTCTCAGACAGACTTGTTGGGTCTTCTGGCAGTCCGTGCTATATTTCATATTCCTCACCAACACTGTAATTCAGAGGCCTCAATTTTCCTTTAGTCTCCCTTACTCATTCTGCAGCTTTCACAAGCATGTGAGGTGATAGAAAATTCCATGGTTTGGGTCACTGTACCTATAGATAAATACATAATGGATATGGACTCATATGCTTGTGAAAGCTGGACAACAAATAAGGAAGACTGAGGAAGAGCTGATGCTTTTGAGTTGTGTTGATGAAGAATAACTGAAAGTCCCATGGACTGCCAGAAGAACTAACAAATCTGTCCTGGAAAAAGTACAGTTGAAATGCTCCTTGGAAGTGAGAATGGTCAGACTTGGTCTCACTTCCTTGGTCATGGTGTCATAAAGGATCATTCCCTGGAGAAGGATGTCATGCTTGGTAAAGTGGAGGGTCAGTGAAGAAGGGGAAGGCCCTCAACAAGATGGATTAACACAGTGGCTGCAATGTTGGGCTCAAGTATAGCAAGGATTGTGAGGATGGCACAAGGCTGGGCATTGTTTCGTTCTGTTGTACACGGGGTCACTATGAGTTGGAGCTGACTCACTGGCACCTAACAACAACAACAACATGCAGTCGCTGTGTAGTTCAGTGCTCAGCATACACCTCGGTCTCCCTCTGTGGCCACCACAGGAGCCTCCCAGCCCCCTCCTCTGCCCCTGACTCTCCCACCTCCCTCCACCAGTTAGGCAAGTTGCCATCAAGTCCCCTGCAGCTCATGGCAGCCTCATGTGTATCAGTAGAACTATGCTCAACAAGGTTTTCAGTGGCTGATTTTTCACAAGATTGCCAGGCCTTTCTTCCAAGGCACCTTTGGAAGGGTTAGAAATGCTAACCTTTCCATTAGCAGCTGAGCATGTTCATCATTTGCACTGCTCAGCGACTCCAGCAAACAAAATACATGGTTACAAATTCCCACGAGTGATAGGACAGCTTGCCTGCAGGGATGGGGGGTGATGTGGGCCAGGCTTTTGCCAGCTAGGCGTTTGCATTGGTGCCTCTGATTCGTAAAGGATCAGTCTGGCACTCGGGGCAGCGTGATGTCGGGCAAGGGACAGCCCCAGAGCATGCTGGAAGGCAGCCACTGGCTGCCAGTGCTGGCTGGACTGCTGTGAGCGGGCAGCAGGGCGGGTCTGGCGTCAGCAGAGGCATCTGAGGATGGGGGCATGGTCATCAGCGGTATGAGAATGGCAGTGTCAGTGGGACCCTGCCTCACTGGCCCCTCTCCTTCCTGCTGCAGGCTGAGCTGCTCGGCCCTTTCGAGGCGCTGGCTGGACTCTTTAAGGAGCAGTATAGGACCTTTGCAGCAGCCCTGGACTCCACACGGCATGAGCTGCCTGTGACGGCCATTCATCTGGAAGGCGGCAGCCAGCAGTTCCTGGGTAGGAGATGTTGCTCAGCCTGGACTTTTTTATTGTGGTAAAAATACATATAGGTAGTTCCCGACTTATGACATATTCAAGTTATGACGAACTGCACTTAAGACTGTGAAGGGAAAAGCAATATAACAGTGTGTGACCAGCACAGTATCATAAGGAAAAGGAAGATCTGGAGAGGTGCGCAAGATGTACCAACATAAAGCTGAATACTACTGTGTACACAATACTGCATGATCAGTAACAGCAAACACTAATCTACGGGTGGGATACATGGATAGACAGGCAAGAATATCAGGTATGGACAGGTGAATGGGGAAATACAACCATACAAGGTCTGGAGGGGATATTCCTACATACATATCTGTATGTGCTACAAAAATACCCATATGCAGTTTAAAGCTAACAAGGGGCAAACTTAGGATAACTTCTTAACCACAACTAAGTACCTTGAGGAAGTGAGTTGCTGGGCCTACGGGCTGGGGACCCTGGTCACAGGGGACATCAAAATCAATAAGCATAACATAGTCCACAGAAACACTGTTCCACATCCTACTTCGGTAAGTATTGACAGGGGTCTTAAAAGCTTGTGAGCGGTCATTTGAGATGCAGCTGTTGGTCTCTCCTTGTCTGGAGCAAAGAAGAGTAAAGAAAGTCAAAGACGTATGGCAGCAGTCCAAGGGACTAATGGACCATGAGAACATCAGTCTTTATGACACTGTGTCCAGAAGAACTAGATGGTACTTGACTACCAATGCCAGCCACTTGGAGAGGGATCAAAATTGGAGATCCTGGATAGAGTGGGGAAAAATGTGGGAGTAAATTAAAACATACACACACACACACACACACATAAGACTGGGATTACTAGTTGGATAGGAACTGGTAGAACCCCTGGGACTATGGCCATGAGTCACCCTTTGTGCCTGGAATTGAACTCACTCCCATGGCTTAATTCTCTGCTCAAGAATAGACAGGCCTACAAGGTGAAAAATTACACCAGGGAGGTGCACTCCTTAGAACAGTCAACCATGGGGGTTCAGAAAGGCAGTGTTTGCACAAGGAGTTAGCTCAGAATGCAAGAATGCATAGGAAAGGAGGACATGAGGAAAGGGTAACTATAGGGAGGAAGTGGGAGGAGAGCTGTTACACTGTAAGGAATGTAATCAGTGTCACAAAAGAAAATGAAAACATAAATAAATACCATGTATAATGTATATTATACATAGATATATAGGTAGTTCCTGACTTATGCTGTATTTGAGATATGATGAACTGCACCTAAGACCTTTGTTTTTCCTTTTGGCATGTCTTATCATCAGTCTTATGTACTACATACAGTGTTGTAGCATGTAATTTGTGTATGTTCAGTTTTATGATTTATGATTTATAAAGGTACTGATAATAAGAGGGGATAATAATGACAACTGAAAATAGGAGGTATTTCACTTAATCACAGTCAACTTCCGACCTGGAACTCCGTTGTAAGTTGGGGACTACTTGTATAACATAGCATTTGCCATTTTAACATTTGGTACGTGTACAAATTTAGTGACACTGATCACATCTATCATGTTATGTGGCCACCCCCACCCATCCATTTCCAGATTTTTCCATCACCCTTCACAGCAGCTCAGTGCCCCTTAAGCAGTGACTCTTCCTTTCCCTCCACCATACCGTTAGGTACTGATGAGTCAGCTCTGACACACAGCAACCCTACGTGCAACAGAAGGAACCATCATCCTGCCCTGCGCCACCCTCACATCCTTCCTGTGCGGGAGCCCATCGTGGCAGCCACTCTGTCAGTCCATCTTGTTCAGGGTCTTCCCCTTCTTCACTGACCCTCTGCTTTACCAAGTGTGAGAGCCTTCTTCAGGGAATGGTCCCTTCTGACCACATGACCAAAGTAGGTAAGATGAAGTCTGGCCATTCTTGCTTCCAAGGAGCATTCGGGCTGCACTTCTCCTGGGACAGATTTGTTCATTCTTTTGGCAGTCCATGGTACTTTCAGTATTTTTTGCAAATACCACAGTTCAAATGCATCAATTCTTCTTTGTTCTTCCTTATTCATTGCCCAGCTTCTACATGCATATGAGGCTACTGAAAATACTATGGCTTGAGACAGGTACACCTTAGACTTCAAAGTGATATCTTCTCTCTCTCGCACTTTAAAGAGGTATTTTGCAGCAGATTTTCCCCATACAATACATCACCTGATTTCTTGACATCTGCTTCCATGGATGCTGATTGTGAATCCAAGTAAAATGAAATCCTGGACAACTACAGCCTTTTTTCTCCATTTATCCATGAAGTTGGTTATTGGTCACTTGGGAGGATTTTTGTTTTCTTTATGTTGAGGTATAATCCATATTGAAGGCTGTAGTCTTTGATCTTCGCATCAGTAAGTGCTTCAAGACTTCTTCACTTTCAGCAAGCAAAGTTGTGTCGTCTGCACGTTGCAGGTTTTTACTGTGTGTTCCTTCATTCCTCATCCCATGGTCCTCTTCATATTGTCCAGCTTCTCAGATTATTTGCTTTCCTGATTTTAAGCCATGCGGTATCATCTTGTTCTGTTCAAACGACTGCCCCTTGGTCTATGTACAGGTTTATCATGAGCATAATTAAGAGTTCTGGAATTCCCATTTTTCACAATATTATGCATAATTGGTGATTATTCACATAGTCGAATGCCTTTGCATAGTATATACAACACAGGTAAAACCTTTCTGGTAATCTTTCTAGGAGCTCTGGTAGCATAGTGGCTAAAGCACTTGACTGCTAACCAGAAGGCTGGCGGTTCAAATCCACCAGCCACTCCTCGGAAGGAAGGTTGGGCAATCCTACTTCCGTAGTGATACTGCCTCGGAAACCGAAGGAGGGGTCGCTATGAGTCGGGGGCCGACTCGACGGCACATAACAACAACAAACAACAACAATCTTTGTTTTCAGCCAACATCTGTCTGGCATCGGCATTGATAGCCCTTGTTCCTGTCCTCTTCTCAGTCTGGCTTCAATTTTTGGCATTGCCCTGTCAGTACACTGATGCTGAACATAATGTAAAACAGTTGCAAGATTTTACTTGTGTGTGACACTAATGATATTTCTCAATAATTTCTGTATCTGTTGGATCACCTTTCTTTGAAATGAACACAAACATGGATCTCCTCCGTTTGGTTGGCCAGGTAGCTGTTTTTTAAATTCCTTGGCATAAATGAGGAGCTCTGGTGGCGTGGTGCCTATGGCATTTGACTGCTAACCAGAAGGCTGGCGGTTCAAACCCCCCAGCCACTCCTCAGAAGGTTGGGCAATCTACTTCTGTAGTGATACCGCCTCTGAAACCCAAGGAGGGATCACTATGAGTTGGATCCATCTCGACAGCAGTGCGTTGCATTGCGTTGCGTTGTTGGCATAAATGAGTGAGCACCTCCAGTGCTTACGCTATTTGTTGAATTATCTCAATGGTCTTTTGTCAATTCCTGGAGCCTTGTTTTTCACCAGCACCTTTCAGTGCAGCTTGGACTTCTTTCTTCAATACCATTGGTCTTGGTCATATGCTACCTCCTGAAATGGTTGAACATCAACCAATTCTTTTTGGTACAGTGACTTTTTTTGTATGTGTATTCATTCCATTCCATCTTTTGATGTTTCCTGATTCGTTAAGTACTTTCCCCCATTGAATCCTTCAATATTGCAGCTCAAAGTTGAGTTTTTTTTCATCTTTTAGCTTGAGAAATTCTGAGTGTGTTCTTTCAGTTTGGTTTTCTAATTCCATCTCTGCACATTTTATTATCCTACTTTACTTTGTGTTCTTGAGCTGCCCTTTGAAATCTTCTGTTAAGCTCTTTTATTTTGTCATTTTTTCCATTTCCTTTACCTGCTCTCCCGTCTCTTAGCCCCTGGTAGCCATTAATCTATTTTCTGTCTAATAAATTTATAAAAACAAAACAAAACAAAAAACTTTATCATTAAGTTGATTCCAACTCATAGTGACCCCATGTAACACAGTAGAATTGCTTCCTGGGATTTTCTTGGCTGTAATCTCTATGGAAGCAGATTGCCAGGTTTCCACTGTGCCAGTGGGTAGGTTCAAACCAAGTTCATGCATGTTGTAGCATGTGTCAGGCAGTACTTCATTCCTTTTTATGAATGAGCAGTATTCCATTATACGGATGGACCATCATCTGAAAGGTTTATAGTTCTTTCGTTTGTGTTTATCTATCATCTGTTGATGGACCCCCTTTTGGCTGTTGTGAGTAATGCTTCACTGAACATTGGTGGACATCCTGTTTGCATCCCTGATTCTGGGTCTTTTGGATCCATGTCTAGGAGTGGAATTGCTGGGTCACGTGGTGATTCTGTTTAACTTACTGATAAAATAATCTCATCCTCGGTGTGCCAGGGATTCTTGGGTGCCTCACATCTGTCATCTTGTGCCACTGTTACGAGTGAACACTCTGGTCAATGTTTTCGCCTCTGAGTGGGACACATGTCGGGGCTGGTGAGGTGAGGCTCATGCCCTGAGTGCCTAGCAGTATTGGAGGTGAACCCAGGTCGTATGGCTGCTTGGTGCTGTCCTGACTACAGTGATGCCCTCCCTGGGGGTGGCCACATTTCCCAAGCCCTGCTTTGCCGAGGCCTTTGGTGGTGGGGGCAAGGGATATCCAGACCCGACTCCATCCTGAGGTTCAGATAGTGTGGCTGTCCTCTGTCCTCTGTGGGGCTCCACCTGATAGCTCACTTGAAGAAAGTGGCGGCTGTGAAGGTCCTCTGCTCCACCTTCACAGTCCACCTAGAGCAGAGGCTGCCCAAGCAGGTGTCCCGCTGCACAAGTTTGGTCGTTTCTCAGAAGCGCTCTCATGAGCTACCTGGCTACCTTTGCTCAGGTCTGTTCCAGAGAAATGCCTTAAAGCAGGAGGACCAGTCTCCAGACTTTTCCCTCCAAAATAGAATGGAAACACAGTTGAAAGGCTGTTGGTATACTTGGCAGTCTTGGATAACAATGGTTTTTAACAAAGTTGGGGTTTTTCCAGCGTAGGATGCTGTATGATGTTATTGTTAGGTGCCATGAAGTCAATTCCAACTTAGTGATCCAGTGTGCTGCAGCGTAGAACTGTGTCCCATAGGTTTTCCGAGGCTGTAAATTTTATGGGAGCAGATCACCGGGACTTCATTCCACTGTGCCTCTGGGTGGGTTAGAACTATAAACCTTTTAGTTAGCATCTGAGCTCTTAACCATTTATACCACCCAGGGTCTCCAAGGTTCCCACAATGTTACCCTAACTTATACTTGGGCTCAGCATGCCAGCTGCTGGTAGAGGAGCAATGCTAATGACCTCAGAACAGGTGGGGAACATAGTCAAGTTGCAGGTGTCTCTGCTTAGGGTCTGGAATTGCATAGTGTGGACAATGGGCTTGTTCTTGAGGTGCATGTAGTTGGGCCAGGAGGCCCCCAGGTGGAGGCATTAATGGTCGCACCCCCAGCCCTTTCTCAGCAAGGCATTTTGCCATTGTTTCCATTGCAGATGTCACGTGGCACTCTGTCTGTCCCGATGACCTCTTGGATGGCTTAGCCATCCTCATCTCAGGCTAGAGGAACCTTCGGTACCCACACAGGAATTTTTTCCCTCAGTATCGGAGCATTCTGGTCAAAGACCGTCTCTGCAGTGTGTGTCCACTGTGTCCCACTGCATCCAGCACCCCAAAGCCCACCACTCATGGTCCTTTTCTCCCTCAGATGACCTGCAGAAGGAGCTGGTCACCACACGCTGTCTCCTGAGTGATCTGGGGGCCAACTTCTCAGAGGAGAGTGTGAAGGCACTGGACTTCCTGAGTGAACTCAAGGATGTGACCGTGAAGAAGGACCTGGAGCTCCAAAGGTATCTCCAACAGTGAGCCCTGTTTGAGCCAACTTGGGCTGCTCGCAGCCTAGCTCTGGGCTCTAGGGTACTGTCAGCTCTGGCAGGTCAAGGGGTACAGTGTGAGTCCCCTCAGAAGACAACCCCCAGACAAGCGACTCTCCTCCCAGATGCCTAAGACCAGAGGAGGACCAGCGGGTGTGGTCATGGTGGGTGGTGGTGCTTAGTTGTTGTTGAGTAAGTTCTAATTCATGGTAATCCCATGTGTCAGGAGAACTAGCTCCATAGGGTTTTCAGTGGGTCACTTTTTGGAAATAGATTACCAGGCCTTTCTTCCGAGGTGCTTCTAGGTAGACTGGACCCTCCAACCTTTCAGCATAGCTGAGGGTAAGAACTGTTCCCCCTGAGTGAGCCTTGTGCTCCCTAAATATCTGTTGAACTACTGGATTCTTTGCTTTCCTGACTGCATCGTCCTTTTCTCAAAGACACTCATTTGATGTTGGGGTTCTGTTCAGATATAGCTTTGCTTACTGGCACCCTCTCACCAGGAACATAGGTTGT